GAGGGGGGAGGGTCAGAGGGAGAAGCAGACTCCCCGCCGAGCAGGGAGTCCGATGTGGGACTCGATCCAGGGACTCCAGGATCATGACCTGAGCTGAAGGCAGTCGCTTAACCAACTGAGCCACCCAGGCGTCCAACTTTTTTTTTTTTTTAAGAGAAGATAGTTTTTCTATTAAATTCTATAAGGTTTTGGGAAAGCTAGAACAGTTGCTTCTACTGGTTTCTGGTTTTTGTTTTTAAGATTTATTTATTGGGGTGGGGGTAGAGGGAGAGTGAGCCTTGAGCAGACTCCACGCTAAGCGTGGGGCTCGATCTCACGACCCTGAGACCATGACCTGAGCTGAAATGAAGTCGGATGCTTAACCAGGCGCCCCCACTTCTGTTAACATTTCCCCCACAGTCTGGCTTTCAGCCCCATCCTTGAGGTCACTTACATTGAAGAGCAGAGCAGGTATTGGTGTGAACCGCTCAACATGAATCATGCAGATAGCATCAGGGAGATGGCCTTCTCTTGAACCCACAAAGAAAAGCCTATTTTGGGTAAGATGAGAGAGGCTGAGAAACTTGGGGGACACTGGGTGGGGCTGAATACATGCCTCGTAGCCCTCCCACTGCCCTCCTTCAAAAAAGTGAATAATAGGGAATGGGGTTCAGTTTTGAGATTAGTGAGAACTGGAGGCTGCTGATGGAAACAACAAAGGGGTAAATATGACTTGGGGAACACAGTGACTAAACTCGGTCCCGTAAGTCCTACCCTTCCCCGCCATAGCTCCTCACAAAGCCCCCCGTAAAAGGACCACTCCTACCTAGAAGCAGCCACAATGGAGGCATTGAGGCCACCAAAGCAGGATAACGCAACCGCCAGCGGAATTGTCCAGTTGAAAATTCCAAAAATCTGGTCTGCAAAAGTCTAAGGGAAAGGAACAAAAATGAGTCATTAGCAGGATCTAAAAAGGATGCAGGCATGCCCCGAGATGGTCCCTAAACTAACCAACCCTTCTTCCACAGCTGGAGTGACAACCTTGTAAACCCAGTATCCGAAGCATACTTTTAAGATTTAAGTAATCCCTACACCAAACAGGGCTCAAACCCTAAACCCCAAGATCAAGAGTCTGCCCACTCAACCAACTGAGCCAGCTAGGTGCCCCTATGCATACTCCTTTCAAGGACTGCCCCCTCTCCAGGACTGGAGCTGCAGGATTCCGAGAAGCCCACAAACACACCATCAGCCTTCTGCTAGTGAAAATCCTTTACCACAGCAACGGCATCACTGGCTAGGATGTCCCTCATGTCTAGGACGGTGTAATAGGCCACATTGGTCAAGATGTAGATGATGGTGACAATGGGCATGGAAATGCCAATGGACAGGGGCAGATTCCTACAGCCAAAAAGAATAATGCACACATTAGTCCCAGGGTCACATCCCCATCTCCTTTAATCCTCAGACTCCCACACCAATCCAGGGATGGGGCCTCCTGCGCGTTTCCCCAGTGCTTTTGCCTTTGAAGCTGTGTACGACAGTGACTTCATTCTTGAGCTCAGAGCTTAAAGAGCATCAAGGGAAAGGAATATCACATTTAGAGAAAAGGCTAACCAAACAGCAGAAAAAGGATTAATAGAGAACAATGTCACCGTGGAATAGCACAGGAAATGACAGGGGGGCAGGGGGGGCTAGTGGGTTTTGGGGTTTTTTTTTTTACATCCAAGGTCTCTTGGTGTCAGGATTCCTTCTTAAGATTGCCAACATGGGAAATTTGTCTTTTTTTTTTTTAAAGATTTTATTTATTTGACAGACACAACGAGAGAGGGAACACAAGCAGGGGGAGTGGGAGAGGGAGAAGCAGGCTTCCCGCTGAGCAGGGAGCCCGATGCGGGACTCGATCCCACGACCTGAGCCGAAGGCAGACGCTTAACGACTGAGCCACCCAGGCGCCCCGGGAAATTTGTCTTAAGGTTGAGAAATACTAGAGGAAATTAGGCAAATTGTGAAATCCAGAGAATAAGGCCCTCACAAGAACAATGTGTGTATCCAAATAAGCAACCTGGGAACTGTGTTCACTCCATCCCCTTACTCAGTGTGAGAACCTGGGGGGGGGGCCATCCTAACCAGTGGCTAAGAGGAAAACACAAAGACAAGGTCCTCTAGACCAATAAAGCTCTGACCTTCATAAACATTCTTCACGGTGAGGGAGAGGGGACATACTCAAGTCATTTAGCTTCTGTCCAGTAGGTGGGAGCACCACCCAGGCTTCAGTCCTGCTTCTAGCATTTGCTCCAGGGATTGCAACACTGGCAGTGTGCCAAGAGGAGTTTATTATTTTGACTTAAAAATTTGCAGAAACTCCACTCCCTGGTAATCTTAGTTCCAAGAATCATTGAATTTTAGAGCCAGGAAGGGCTCTGGAGATCATATAACTCAACCCCCTCAATTTACAGATAAGGAAGCAGGCAGAGTTGGCAGGGGATTCAAATTAGTGGAAAGACAGGCTCCAGGCCCTTTGACTCCCTGTCCAGTGCTCTTGTCACTCTGCATGACGGCCGAATAATTTAGAATAACCAGGCTGAAGTAATACTGTTAAATGCTGACACAATACCGCTATGTCAGTACAAATTTGAGAAACCAGGAAGGGCTCAAAAAGAAAACAGGAAAGTTTTGGGGCATCTATGACCTAAAGTTATCTATGTGGGGATAAGGGTGGGTGAATATCAAGGAAAACCCATGAGAAAGCACACATGAACACACAGTACGACCTGCTGTAATGAATGCAGGAATGAAGGGGCAGATGTGAAAAGGCCTGCTGTTATCCTGGACAATCTATCTCCCTGGCCTTCAGGACTGCCATCTATTCAAGTGGCACTGATAAAATCTGTCTCGGTGGTTGTGGTGGGCTCTCTCAGTAAATGAGAGCTATCCTTATTGCCATGGAAGACTGATGGTGAGATACCTACCTCTCAGGATTCTTGATCTCTTCAGTGACGTAGTTGAGCGTGTCCCAGCCCGAGTAGGAGAACAGAGCCGAGTACAGTGCCAGGGCAATATCACCCATTGCAAATGATGAACCCTCAAAAGAATTCTCAAAGTGCGTCGAGGCTCCTAGAGTCCAGAGAACATGGAAAGGCAGAAGGATTAGTGGCCTACCCCCAGCTTCAAAGTGATCCAGAAAAGGAGTGGGAGAACATGACGCTTACGGCAAGCGAGTGGCTCAGAACACCTTCGGCAGCAAGGGCGCTGGTAAAAAAACAGAACGGGAGAGAGACCTCTACAGTGATGGGCTGGAGTACAGGGGACAGCACGAGGATCTTGACAGGAAGGACTGTGATGGCCTTCTAGGGTAAGAAACCACGACGGAGCAGGCCTATAGAATAGAAGTGATGTGGTTCTGTCCTGCCCCATTCCTATCCCCTTTCTAACACCACAAACAGCTGGTACAGGATGGAGGAAGGATAGCGCTCCTTACGCCCAGGGCAACAGAGTGGTGGGGCAGGTGTTCCTACCTGGAAACTGGAGAGGAGTGGATACAAGGAGTTCATTTCTGCCCTTGCAGAAGAACTTCCAAGGGCAGAACAATCATAGCCACAGCACTGGGCTGGACAGTCGGCTAAAGCCAGCTCCCAGGGCATGACGGGAGTGTGAAATCAGCCAAGATCAGCCTCCTCTGGGAGCATGCAGAGAAGACAGGCTTTGAGGTCAGTCTGAGTACAAATCCCCACTGACGTACTAGGAGCTGAGGACTTGGGCAAGATACTTAGTTCTGCAGCCTCAGTCTCCTCTACAAAATGGAAATTATGGCATCTAGCAAATGAGAATGCACAAAGGGCATTTAAAGAAGTAGGACTCAGAGAAAATGCTCAAGAGTTCATTGCTCTCCCGCTTACCCTGGCCAAGTCTAACAATGCCTGCGATGATGACAGCGATCAGCGCCAACACTTTAGCATAGGTGAAGATATCTTGTACCAGCGTTCCCCACTTGACGTAGGCACAGTTAACGAAGGTTAAGAGACCTGAAAAAATAATTCTGATCGGTGACCAACCCTACCACCCAAAGAGCCTTAGACCCCCCAAGCGTTATTTCCAGTAGCAGTCATCTTTGGCCAAAGACAGTGTTTGGGCTCTGATGGGCTCTGTATTCAAAACCTCTGTCCAGCAGGTCCTCACCATTAGCATTCAAAGGCTCCCGATAAACTTCTGTGTGGGCAGCGCCACACACACCCTTTAGCACTTACCGGGGAGGAAACACAAAGTAACTGGATTTGCTTACATTCAACAGTGCTCACAGCAGTGGGAGGTAACCGGTAGCCATACAGGATTAGTGATGTTTTCCAGCTATTGGCTCTGAAAAGTCACCATCCTCCCAGCTTTTGCACCCCTCTACCTCCTGATATGGGCTCCAGGACTCAGCGCTCTGTGGTATTGTTAACCTTGCGGAATCCTGTTGTGACTTATCCAGTGCTGGGCCGGCAGGTCAGGACGTGTGGCCGAGGATTAGACTGGGGGCCAGACTTCCTGCTACTGCCTGCCAGCTCAGCGCTTGTTTTTGTACTTGGAAAGATCCTTGGAGCCAAGGTTCCTATAGTTCCTATTTTTCCTGACCGGACAATGCAAAACAGTGAGCCACAAACATTCCTTAAGTCCTACCCTGGGGTAGAGGCAATCCCTTTAACCAGATGAGCTTTGGGAAAGTTCATGGATCACCCTGAGAGCCAGGGTTCTTAACCTAGGGCTTCCACAAGGCCTGAAATTCCTTGTAAATAGTTATGTACATATGTCCAAAGTATATGCATTTTTTTTTAAAGATCCTATTTATTTATTTGACAGAGAGACACAGCGACAGAGGGAACACAAGCAGGGGGAGTGGGAGAGGGAGAAGCAGGCTCCCCGCTGAGCAGGGAGCCCAATGCTCGATCTCAGGACCCTGGGATCATGACCTGAGCCGAAGGCAGATGCTTAATGACTGAGCCACCCAGGCGCCCCCCAGTATATGCATTTTTCTAAGAAAAAGGTCCATGGCCTTTGTCAGAATCTCGGAGAAATCCATTACCCCTAAAAAAGTTTCAATCCAGTACTTCAGAGGAAAGAAAATCAAGAAGGAAAGTCCACAGATGCTGTGAGGTTGACCCCTAGCCCCAGGATGTGGCCGGGAAGAAAGTGAAAAGAAAGGATTCTGAGAGCCAGCTGAAGGTTCCAGATCCCGCACCGGCGCCTGAAGCGTGCAGGCGGGCACCTGCAGCCCGCCTCCACTGTGGCAGCCCATCACCTCACTGAGCCTGCCTTCCTGGCTCAGCCACAGGAGCCCCAGGAGGAGGGCTTACCAGTCCTTGCAAGAGCTCCAAGGGCAAGGTCAGAATCAGCCTGCCTTCCCAGTGGAGAAAGAGAGGTCTGGTGCTGGGCTTGCCAGCTTCAGGCCACTAACACAGGAAGCCTCCTCCTTCACTGTCCCTAATCCTCCTGTTGTCTTGTGTCCTGGCCTCACCACCCTGGCCCAGAAGCATCTTCATCCTGAGAAGCAGGGAAGACCAACCTCAGGGAGCAGCTGGCTCGTCTTTGGTTTCTGCCTCTTCCTCCTTTACACCCCTTCTTAGTCTACTGGCTGCCCAAGTTCTTTCCTGCTCTTCCCTAGACAGGGTATCCTACTCCTATACAAAAACTTGCCTTTTTGCCTAATAAACAATAAACAACCAAACCTGATCACAGGGCTGAGCAAGACTACGCCCGTAATTCCTCCGTGCTAAGTTAATAATTAAAGACACAAGCACACAATCTCCACAAGCACCCCACAAAGTGACCAAAGCGCCTGTATCTCACCTTCCACAAGTCTTTCAGGTCCGCTGACCCTCCGCAGTCAATCACCCATCCTTTACTCCCCACTGGACTTCTGTTTCCAGCCATTCAGTAGCCCTCATACCCCTTCTCTCCATCCTGTAACCCCTACGCCTCACCCTTGGACTCTGCTGCTGCCTCACAAATAGGACCCGGCCCAGGTTTCTGATTAGAAACGCCAGGGACAGGGCCGCCTGGGTGACTCAGTCGGTTAGGCGTCTGCCTTTGGCTCAGGTCATGATCTCTGGGTCTTAGGATCAAGCCCTATATCGGGCTCCTTGCTCAGCGGGGAGCCTGCTTCTCCCTCTCCCTCTGCCTCTCCCCCTGCTCATGCTTGCTCGCTCTCTCTCTCTCTCTCCCCCAAATAAATAAATAAAATCTTTACAAAAAGAAAAACATGAGGGACAAAAAAAAATGGGGGGGCACCTGGTTGGCTCAGTCAGTAGAGCATGCAACTCTTGATCTCGGGGTCCTGAGTTCAAGGCCCACACTGGGTGTAGAGCTACTTAAAAAAAATTAAAAGAAATACCAGGGACACCTGATGCTGCCCTCTTCACAAGGGAATGGGATCACCTCATTGAGATGGATGGTCCCAACACCAAGCCGGGATAGGCTGAAGGGACTAATTCTGGATCAGAGTCAGTCTGCAGCCATGCGCCACAGGGATCTGCTCTTGGCTTTGTCCAGGTATGTGGGCAGCAAACAGACAACTCATCATCCTTTACTACAACAAATTCCGAAATGAAAATACATGGATCGTTTGCATTTTAATCCCTACTGCTTCGCTACTTGAATTCCATATCCATCCATTTGTATCCCTCCTTTGACCCGCCAGTTTTTCTCCCTCCCCCGCACCTGAGCCTTATTTTCTCAGCCACTGACCCACCATCTTGCCCTGATCTACTCTCTGTAGTAAGCACAGGGACTTGGTTTGAATGAAGAAGGGAATCCTCTGGAAAGAAACCAGGAGCAGAGGAACTGCCTGAAGAGAGCTGGCCCTCACCTTCTCCAAAGCCCAGCTTCCTCTGGGGCCTCTTGGCCACGGGAGCAGGAAATGGGTATGGCAGGCAGCGCCACTGACTGGGCTCTTTGTCCTCACCCACAGCGGACACAGCTGACCGGAGACCCCAAAGCCCGGCCTAGTGCACTGTTCTTAAGGTGGAGCCCAGCCTCCTGCTTCAGTGGCAGAGAAAGGAGGGGACCACGGGCTTAGAGTAATAATGGAGGCAACCGCAAGTCAACCTCAAGGACAGAAATGCCCTACCCTCCTACCGCTAGGTGTAACTCCATCTCCACCCAACACTGGGCCAAGTCCACAAGAAGACGGCCTGAAATCACCCTGGACCCTTAACTCAGGTGCAGCTCCATTCCTACTTTGACCTGCTTTGGAGGAAGGAGAAGCTTTGAAGAAGCCACTCCTACAATCATCTAAACAGATGCTCCCGAGGGGCGCCTGGGTGGTTCAGTCAGTTGGACGTGCCTTAGGCTCAGGTCGTGATCTCAGGGTCCTGGGATCTGGCGCCAGGCTCCCTGCTCAGCTTCCTGCTCCTCCCTCTGCCCCTCCCTCCAGCTCATGCTTGCTCTTGCTTGTTCTCTCTCTCAAGTAAATAAATAAAATCTTAAGAGAGAGAGAGAGATGCTCCTGAATGGTCATCAAAGCCAACCTACATGGGCTCTCCTGGAGTAGGAGACTAGTCCTAGCACTAAGGCCCCAGCATCAGCTGTAGAACTAAAAGTAAGGAAAGCACACACATAGGTTGATCCAGAACAGAACAAAGCTTGCAGGCCCACTCCGAATCAGATGGCCAGATTTGGTTTAGAAGCCCACACTAAACAGTCCCTGAAAAAGAACATTAACCCCACAATTCTCCCAACATTGTAATTTTTTGGTTTTTGTTTTATTTTTTTCCAGCACTGTTAGTTTTAAATATGTAGAATGTAACACATAAAACTTAGGCCACTCTTCAGTCTATTTTCTGCTTCAAATTCCCAGGGACTATAAAACCTCAGTACTTTATCTATGAGACAACCCATTCCATTTTTAAAAAGATCAATAGCTCTTCCTTCCATGAAGCCAAAAACTTCTTCTTCACAACTTCTACCCAGTAGTCCTCTCCTCTGGAACCACACAGAATCCGGCTAAATGCGCATCCACATAATGGCCCTTCTTATCACTAAAGATTAACATCCTGTCCCCCTGGAGACTTCCCCCTTTGGGGCTAAAAACCCAGTTTCTTCAGCCTCCTGAATATGGCTTCCAGGCACTCACCATTGAGATTCTCCCCTCTGCATCCACTTCACTTTGTCAGGATGTCCCTGAAACATGAGACCCACAGAGAACACTCCAGACATTTTTACAGACTATGGGGTCTCGGTTTGAATTCACTGTCAACTACAATTCCACCTCAAACTGATGAGCATTTCCCTATACCCCTTTTGGGGCCTATAAAAATGATTTTTTTTTAAATATTTTATTTATTTATTTGTTAGAAAGAGAGAGTACAAGCAAGGGGAAAGACAGGCAGAGGGAGAAGCAGGCTTCCCGCCGAGCAGGCAGCCCTATGTGAGACTCGATCCCAGGACCCTGGGACCATGACCTCAGCCGAAGGCAGATGCTTAACCGACTGAGATACCCAGGCGTCCCAAAAGTGATTTTTTTTTTTTTTTAAGATTTTATTTATTTGAGGGACACCTGGGTGGCTCAGTCGGTTAAGCGGCTGCCTTCGGCTCAGGTCATGATCCCAGGGTCCTGGGATCGAGTCCTGCATGGGACTCCCTGCTCGGCAGGGAGCCTGCTTCTCCCTCTGCCTCTGATCCTCCCCACCATGCTCACGTGTGCTCTCTCTCTCTCTCTCAAATAAATAAATAAAATATTTTTTAAAAAAAAATAAATAAAAGTACTAGTCCCCCCCCCTTCCCACTTTTTGTTTTTTTTCCCCCCAAGGTTTAAAACTTTTATTTAGAAAGCCTGTGAAATAATTGTATAATAATTTGAGTGGGTAGGTTATACAAAAAAATAAATCCCCACATTGGTTTTGACATTGTATCTTAGAATTTAATATTTTGTGTATCCCTTGACTAATTATTGTTGGTCTAGATGATTTTACTATTGTCTTGTAACCTTCATACTAGCTCTGTAGGTAATTATCCACTACCTTTATTATATATTTACCAGTGAGATTTTTTTTAAATAATTTTCTTATTTCTAATTATGGCCTTTTCTGTTTTAAGAAGTCCCTTTAACATTTCTTATAAGGCTGGTCTGTTGTTGATGAACTCTTTAGCTTTTGCATATCTGGAAAACTCCTTATCTCTCCTTTAGTCTGAGTGATAACCTTGCCAGGTGCATTTTGAATATATTGTGCCACTCTTCTGGCCTTTAAAGTTTTTGCTGAAAAATCAGCTCATTGTCTTATGTGGGGGTTCCTTGTATGTAACTAGTTTTTTTTTTTTTCTTGCTGCTTTTAAGATTTTTTAACTGTTGTTGGCATTTTGATTAACTAGTCTTAGTGTGAGTCTCTTTAGGCTCAATTTTTTGGGATTCTCTGTGCTTTCTGGACTTAAATGTCTGTTTCCTTTGCCAGGTTAGAGAATTTCTCAGCTGACAGGTTTTCTGTCCCTTTCTCTTTCTTCTCCTGGGATCCCTATAATGCCAATGTTAGTTATACTTGATGTTGTCCCAAAAGTTCCTTAAACTATCCTTAGTATTTTCCTTTTTGCTGTTCCAGTTGGGTGATTTCCACTACCTTGTCTTCCAGATCGCTGATTCGTTCTGCATCACCTAATGTGCTATTGAATCTCTCCAGTGGACTTTTTATTTCAGTTACTGTATTGTTCAGCTCTGATTGGTTTTTTGTGGGTTTTTTTTTATATATATACTTTCTGTTGAAGTTCTCGTTGTGTTCATTCTTTGAGTTCGGTGAGTATGTTTATGGCCATTACTTTGACCTTTTTACCTGGTAGATTGCTCATCTCTTTTGTTTAGTTCTTTTTCTGAGGTTTTGTATTATTCTTTCATTTAGAACATACTCTTTCTTCATTTTGCCTAACCCTATGTTTCTTTGTATTAGTTAGATCAGTTCTGTCTCCTGGCCTTGAAGGGGAGTAGCTTTTTGCGGGTGTCCTGTGAGGTCCAGTAGTGCAAACTCCTAGTCACCTGAGCCAGGTGCCCTAGGGGTTCTTTGTGTGGGTTGCATGCACCCTCTTCTTGTGGCTGGGTCACTGTTGGTGTAGACTCAGTGGTTTGCAGGGCTGTCCCCTGACACAGCCGTCTGCAAGACTCAGCCACAGCTTCTTCACGTATACTGGTAAGCAGGGCTGCCCATCATCCTGTCTGAGAGGTCCAGCCACTACTGTTGTTGGGTGGGTAAGTGGGGGGGGTTGGCCTCAGCACAGCTGGCTACAAAGCCCAGCTGTGACAGCTCCATTCCACTGGTGGGAAGGGCAGGCCTACTGTGTGGCAGACTGTGAGGTCCAGCTGCTGCAGGTGCTCTCGTATATGCAGGGCAGAGGCTGCTTGGTGAGGGTGGCTCTGGTGCAGGCTGAGGCCACCTGGGTGTGGCAGGGGCAGGGAGCCCCTTAGGAAGGGCTCTTGGCCTGTGGGTCGGTTGGGCTGGGCAAGCTGGTGCTAGCACAGTAGATGGAGAAGGTCAGAAATGGTGCCTGCCAGCTCGTCCATCCCCAGAGAATGTTCCGACAGATCCCTGCCCTGCCAGCACATGCCCTAAAATCAGTCCATGCATCTCCTTCATGTGTAGCCCAGGCATTTTTCAAACTGCTGCCTCTGTGCTGGAACTTCAGCAAGTGAGATTGTGCATAAACCTTGCTGGTTTTCAAAACCAGAGGTTGTAGGGGCTGGTCTTCTAGTGTAGGGCTGGGAACCCAATATGGGGCTTGGACCCCTTGTTTCACAGGGAGAGTCTTTATGGTTGTGATATCCCTCCTACTCGTGGGTCCTGACTAGACCTTGTCTCTGCCTCCTACCCAACTCAAAATGGCTTTTTCTTTATATCCTTAGGTGTGTAAGATCTGTTTTGCAAAGTTCTTTACACAGCGATAGTTCTATATGTAGTTGTAGATTTTGGTATATCCTTGAGAGGATGTAAGCCCAGGATCTTTCCTACTCCTCCATTTTGATCCCCTTGGGCCTAGGGTCCTGTATTAGACATTTTAGACCTTGAAATCTCTCCCTTGGCTTTTGTGATCATCTTTCCTGATTTTCTTGTCTTTCTGACCACATCTTTCCATTGCCATTGCCCAGTTCTCAGTCCACTCCTTCAGGGCTAGTATTCTCGGTTTCATCCTTAGCTTCCTTCTCTTCCCACCCCATATCAGCCATTATAATGTTGATAAAGCCTAAGCCCATATGCCCCCCCACCCCCCCGCACCACCACCCTCTCTTCTCAGCCCAGACCCTCTTGCTTGTCACTGATTAGTTTATCAGTATTTTTGGAATGATCAGGAAATAGGAAGTATAAGAAATGGGGAGGAGCTAAAGGAGTAAGCCACTAGATTACTTCCTACCCTAGGGATTTCTAGGATAGGGGCCTTCAGACTTCATTCCTGAAGTTCCCAGAGTTGTGTATGGTGCCTCTGAGAAAAGCAAAGGCCAGAGCTTGAACAGTTTTGTAGCCAGACTACTCTCTCTCTCAGAGCAGCTCGGTTTTATCTCTTATGTATATTGGGGCTACACTTAAGAGTTGACGGTAGGGAGATTCCATTGATAATAGAAAAGTTCAGATACCACTGATCTAGAAAAGTATCTTCTCTCACCTTTTGTTCGAGGAAATAAACGGTATCCCTGGCCATTTGCTTACAGAAGTTAATGTTAGACTTTTGTGAGGTCAAAGCAGAGAACTGAGCCTTGACGGATCAAGTCACCCCTGCCCTTTGTTTTGGGTTCCTTCAGCAGGCATCACAGTGTTGAAAAGACTATAATTAAAAAAGACCCTTTCAGCGAGGACCGAAAAACCTTCAACCTTCCAACAGCAGAACTGCTTTGATTTCACTCCAGTCCTAGTTTGTGTTTTCCAGGTACTGTCCTTGCCCGCTGCCTGGTGTTTCCTCTCATCGTGAAGGGCCAGCGAGAAGCAGCCAAGATCCACAACCACTTGCCAGAGATCCAGAAGTTTTCCACTCGAATCAGAGAGGCCAAGTTGGCAGGAGACGATGCTGAGTGTGAGTCAGCTGCAGAATGCGCATAGGAGAGGACCATGTTTGCACTTTCCTGACATTCTGCTGAGGGTTGCTAGAAGTGGGCAAGTTCTAAAGATCCACCTACTTCTTGGGCCTAATGTTTCCAGTGACTGGCCAGGGTCAGGTAGAAATCTTATGGGCCAGGTGGTAAGGATGGTCACCTCCATCGATGTAATTATTAGCCCAACCATTAACTTCCCCTCATTCACAGTTTACAAGGCCTCCTCGGAAATGACATTTTACCAGAAAAAGCATGATGTTAAACTCTTTAGACCTCTTATTCTACCTCTGACTCAGGTAAGCAAAAACATTTTCCTTCTTATTTTATCCTACCCCAGTCAGATAAACTCCTGTGTTTCCCATGCCCTAGACCCCCGAAAAGTGGGGTGGTGGTAAGGTTTTTAATGATGGAGTAATGAAAATGTCCCCTTTGCTAAAAGGTCCTGACACTGTTTATCCTGTGTAATAGGCCCCGATCTTCATCTCCTTCTTCATTGCCTTGAGAGAAATGGCCAACCTTCCTGTGCCCAGCCTGCAGACAGGTGGCCTCCTGTGGTTCCAGGATCTCACACTATCTGACCCCACCTACATATTACCACTGGTGGTCACTGCTACAATGTGGGGTGTCCTTGAGGTAAGCCCAGGTTGGCTAAGTGCCAGGCCTGCAAAGTGGGGAGTAGAGACCAAGTAGAATTGATGGGTTGAAATCTGAGCCAGATTCTCTAGAAATGACGTGCAATTGCTTTTTTTTTTTGGCAGTTAGGTGCGGAGACTGGCGTGCAAAGTTCTGATCTTCAGTGGATGAGAAATGTGATCAGAGTGATGCCCCTAGCGGTGTTGCCCATAACTATCCATTTCCCCACGGTAGGTAATGGCTTAGGAGCTGGCTCCAAGCCTTTCCATCTAGCCTAGCCATCTCCCATCAAGCTGACAGCCGAGGACAGCTCCTGAGTACTGTGTCTTTCTTCTCCTTCAGGCGGTGTTCATGTACTGGCTCTCCTCCAATATGTTTTCCCTGGTCCAGGTGGCTGGCCTCCGGATTCCAGCCGTACGGACTATACTGAAAATCCCCCAGCGTGTCGTGCATGACTCCAATAAATTACTTCCACGGGAAGGTTTTGTAAAAAGCTTCAAAAGAGGTAAGGGTCTGTCCTCAGTGAAACGGGACTGCGGGGGAAGTAGTCTAAAAATGGGCCTAGGACCCACTGTCTTCCTCCTCTTTACACAGGATGGAAGAATGCTGAACTGGCGCATCAGCTCAAAGAGCGTGAACGACGCATGCAGAATCACTTAGAACTAGCTGCCAGGGGTAAATAACCCTTGCAGGCTAAATTCCGTGATTTGTTTCTTCCTTTCCTTCGTTCATTGAAATTTGTTTTCTCTTGCCCTAGGTCCCTTACGACAGACCTTTACCCACAACCCATTGCTACAGCATGGAAAGAATCAGCCTAACAGCAGCAGTGCCAAGCCAAAGCAGCCCTGGCGTGACACGCTGGGCTGAATTCCATTCCTGTTCAGACTGGTAGGAGCTCTCTCTTCAAAGACTCGGCGTCAGAACGGATTTGACACGGAGTCCTTGCCCCAGCTCTAGAAACCGTGGGGTGTCAAGATCTTCCTTTTAAAAGTGGATTCCATTACAGACCCTCACACCTAAGTGTAAAAGAGCCAAGTGATCTTGCCAGCCACAGAATCAGTAAACCTCTAAACTACATGCTGCTTCCGGATACTTATTAAACAAGGAAACGGATGGTGTGCTTCAGAAAACTGAAGACTAGATCAGTTGGGGATTGCTCCTGCCTGTGCTCTTAGGAAGTGCCTCAGTAGTGTAACCTGGCATTACGAGCTTAAACTCCCACCCCATACATGGGTTTATCTCAGGATGCTATAAAATAATTTTGCTAAGCAGCTTAGGTGTGTTCTCTTGTATAGAGAGTGGCTGCATCAGCCACCAGCACCTGACTTGAGAGGAAAGAAATACTCAGATACTTTCAAGCACAAGACTGTTTTTAGTGTTCCTCTTAGCCTGATGAGAACTGTCCCCAAGACCTATCTAAAATGAAGTCACTCAAAGTTTAGAACATAACCCTTTTATTATCTAGCACCTGTGACAGTTTCATGTCTCTAAAGGAGACAGGAAGTCCGGAGCATTATTGGCCCTTTTAAAGGAAAAGGAGTGGGTGGGCACACCCAGAGGTGAGCGACTGTCTTAACGCGTGGGAATGTGCTACTAGTAAAACCAAGCCCACACCTGACATGCTCCCCACCACAGTCTGTTCCAGACTTTTTTTAAAAGGGACAATAAAGCAATGTGTAGCAGAACAAATAAATTACTTTTCATCTCTCAAACAGCAAGTTCGAAAATTGAAGGCACCTGTCCAGAAGCCTGGTCTGAGCAGCTTCAACAAAGAGATATACTTTTCCTTTTCATCTTCCTTGGCTCCAGCCAGTAAGGGACAAGATCCCCTGCTTTCCACATCTCAGGATTGATTCTAGATGGTATTTAGTTAGACTTGGGATCTCGGTGCTTGGGCATCTCTCCTCCATCTTCCAAATCCATTTCTGCAGCAACGGACATACATAAGACCTGGAGGTACCATGTAGCGGATGCTACAAAGAGAAATGTAAGTCAGAACTGAGAAGAGGTCAGCTGAGCTCAACTCAGGTGGCACTGACCGGGGCTGGCCTGAGGGATAATTCTGTTAAGCCTTATAGTTAACAACAGGAAGGGGCTAGGGCAAAGTTGATGCCGGCGGGTACCAGATGGGGGGTGGAGAAAGCCATACGATTGCTCATCATCTTGAAGATCCAAAGGCTTACCCACAATCCTTCGGAGGCAGTGAGGTCTTTTGTGTTCTGGCACTCTGATGATGAGGAAGTAGAAGGGCAGGCCTGAGAGGGCGATGCCAATGCCGATGAGGGAGTTGATGGTGTCGCTGTAAAGTGGCACAGCTACCAGGAAGATGGTGCAGAGGCAGAAGACAATGGGGAAGAACAGGCTGAGCTGGAGGGCACAGAGGAGACAGCTGGAGGTGAGCTCAGAGTGGCAGCTATAGTAAGTGTCTCCTGTGAAGATCAGGGCACTGAGCCTTTCCATCCCCTTCATCTCCACACCCTACCACCCCTGAGGCCCATGCAAAGGGAGGATGAAGCTAGAGTACCTTGAGGGGACGAGGCCGATTAGGCTCCTTCCAGCGCAGATAAAGCTGACCCACAATAGAGAGGCCCACAAAGAACCAGTAGCTGAAGCTGTAGTAGTTAATGAGCTGGAAGATGTCCTCCACACACAGGTAGATCAGTGCCATGATACCCTGCAGGCACAGGCCCACGTCAGCTCCTCTCACGGCCTGTCACTGGAGGCGTGCTTCCCCCTCTTTGGTCTCCCAGAGATCCAGCCCCTTCTCAAGTCCTCAGTGTCTCGCCTCGCCCCTGCCCCCCCACCCCGGTCCTCTTCTGTTCCCACACGCTTCAGCACCCGAGTTATAGCATCTCCTTCCTTTTCTAGTAAGCCAGGGGTGCCTCAATTGTTTTTTCAGGCCCATGCTTCAAACCTTTACCACAGATCAAAACAATTCCTCACAAATCTTTTCTACATTTCCAGGTTTTATCTCCTACTACCCAACTTCACATGAGCTGCTTTACCCCAGGACTTTGATACGGTTTGGGGTTTTTTTTTTAATGCCTTTTATTTTTTAAGTAATCTTAAGTCCAACATGGGGCTCCAACTCACGACACCCCCGAGGCCAAGAGTTAGCATGCCCTACTGACTGAGCCAACCAGGTGCCCCCCCATACTGTTTCTCTTAACCTAAAGCCCATCTCCACCTTTTGCAACCTAACCTTAAAAATCCACTTCAAATGTACTTTGTCTAGAGGCGCCTGGGTGGTTCAGTCAGTTAAGTGTCTGACCCTTGGTTTTGGCTCAGGTTGGGATCTCAGGGTCATGAGTTCAAGCCCATGTCTGGTTGCGCCCTCCCTGAGGAGTCTGCTTAAAAGACCTTCTCTCTCTGCGCCTCACCCCTGTGCACACGCTCTCTCTCGAATCTTTTTTTTTTAAAAGATTTTATTTGAGAGAGAGCGAGCACATGAGTGGGGGGAGGGTCAGAGGGAGAAGCAGACTCCCTGCTGAGCAGGAAGCCCGATGCGGGACTCGATCCTGGAACTCCAGGATCATGACCTGAGCCGAAGGCAGTCACTTAACCAACTGAACCACCCAGGCGCCCTCTCAAATCTTTTTTTAAAAACAAAACAAATGCACTTTGTCTAAGAAGTCTTTCCTCCCTTACCTTCTATTCCCATGGAAGATCATTTTTCCCTTAAACACTATGTCATTTACTATCATGGCAGTCATTTCATTATATTCAGTGTACTTTATGCTTTATCCTAGACCAGAGGAGGTTACCTTTTTTTTTTTTTTTAAAGATTTTATTTATTTATTTGAGAGAGAGCACATGCGAGAGAGGGGGGAGGGTCAGAGGGAGAAGCAGACTCCCCGCCGAGCAGGGAGTCCGATGTGGGACTCGAT